ACAATTTAATGAGAATGAAAACAAAGAGATGAAATTGTCCACCGAAGAATCTTTTAGAATAAATTATTTCACATATTTAGTTGATCATACCATTTCTTCACTTCAAAGTAGGTTTGAACAATTTGAAATATGAAAAATAATAGAGACACCGAGAGTAGTGTACCGAATGACATGGCTCAATCCTAACTGTCGATTAATTATAAATTAATATTAATCGACGGTCAGGATTGAGCCACATCATTCAGTGCACAAATTCGGTGCACTACTCCCGGTGACTGTAGCATTACTCTTGAAATATATAGTGATAATTTTGGTTTTCTTTATAATATAGAAAAGTTTAAATTGCTTGATGATGATAATTTGAAGAAAAATTGTTTAAATCTTAAAAACTTTTTAAAATATGAAATGTTCTCTGATATTGATGGTTTAGATTTATATTCAGAATTAAAAGTTTTAAAAGAAATTATAAACGTGGAAATTAAAATACCACTTAAGATACTAGATTTTAAAAAAAAATGTGAATTCTTTTCCAAATGCATGGATGGATTATAAAATACTATTAACTATTCATGTTACAGTAGGTTCAACAAAAAGAAGTTTTTCAAAATTAAAGTTAATAAAATCTTATTTGCGTTGAAAAATAAATTTGAAATAATTTTTTAATATATACTTATATTATCAATAATATTACACTCACAAACCTTTCTCACTAACTTTCTATAAAAAATGCGACATGTCAGCTCATAATTGATCAACTTATAATGGGTCCCATCTGACCAATTACGAGCTGTCACGTCAATGTTTGTGAAATAAAGTTGTGACAAATGTTTATCAATCTATCTTTATTCTTATATTATTTGTACGCCTTTAAAGTAACTTTTGCCTAAGGTCACAAATGTTCTTTAGACGGACTTGTTCAGTATATATATATTTGCTCCAAAATTTTCTGAGATATGAAACTGGTTCAAGCTCGGATGTGAAAAGGTAAGCGACATTGATGAAGTCGTTGAATTTTGCATTGCGTTTCACTGTGCATGGAAACCTCAAGACCGTTTGCTTTGGCCTTCTGCATATGATATTCTTTGCAATGACGTTGCATGTTCCTTTGAAGGCCTTTTAAGTCATCCATTTTAAAGGGCTTTTTCACCAAATCAATAAAGACACGTGCTGATAAGTTTATACAAAAATCCTAAACAAATCGATTTCAATATAACGAAGTACATCAGAAATCATGTTTTGGTATCAACAAAATGCCATTACTTCCCACTAAAGGCAAAAAAAATATAATTTGGGAAGCAATGAATATATGCTTTTCTCTTGTGAACAAACACCAGGGCTTTCTGTTAACTAAACCTGTTAAAATGCCTTTGATCATCATGTTTCTGTTCCATTTCTCAACTTATTATTACTAGCTAAGAACATTACAATTTGGGGAAAAAAAAAAAGAAAAAAAAAAAGATAGCAATGGAGCTTGAATTGGGACTCAAGATCACCCATAACAGGGATGATTTGACTTCCAAAATGGCTGATTTCAGGATCACAAAAGAATCCTCTGGCCCTCTTTTCATGTCTACAGAAACTGACTCCAAGTTCATCCTCATTGGCCATCTCAAAGGTCTCTTGTTAATTTCCATTCCATTTTTGTATTGCAACATTTTCCATTTTTATTCTTATTTTAGTGTTAATTAAACAAAATGCAGGTTTCAGAAGGGAGAACATTGACATTGAGATAAATGAAGCCGGGAATCGAATTGCAATTGGTGGGAAGAAGCCTGTTCAGGAGATGGTGTTGCTGGGTTGGATTATGGTCAGGAAAGAGGTGGAGGTAAAGGCTTTCAGGAAAGTTTTTCGGATTCCGGAAAGGGTGAAATTAGATAAAATTAAGGCCAAGCTTAATGATGAAACATCAACCTTGACAATTGTTATGCCGAAATTGGACAAGGGAATTTGTGGGGTTGGGATTGAGGAAGTGAAGGAAGAGGAGGAAGAGGAGGAAGATAGAGGGAGAACTGAAGCTGAGGAAGTTCCCGGAATTGAGAAAGCAAAAGAGGAAATTCAGAAAGAGTCTGAAAAGCCAATAGAAAAGGAAGAAACTGACCAGGTTGTGGAAAGAGAGGTTCCTGAAACTATAGAGCAAAAGAATGAAAGCTTGGAGGATTCTGGTCAGGTTTTGGAAAAAGCAAGTGATCAGGGACAACCTGCAGCAACAAAAGCTGAAGAGTTTCCGGGAGGAGACTATGCTGGGGAGGCTGTAAAGGAAACACCTGAAGAACTCACGGAAGAAATTGCTTCGGAAGAGCAAAAGGTTGACGGAGATGAGTCCAGGACATTTTCAAATGAAGCTGAAAAGGTTCCTGAAAGAGTCAAAGAGCCTGAAGTTAAAAGCTTGGAAGAAAATGATCAGGTTGTGGAGCAATCACCTGGAGGCCCAGAAATTGAGCCTCAGGCCAGTACTGAAATGAATCAAGCAACTGGGTCTGTGGAACCTCATGAAGCAGCCGAGAAAGAGAGTGATCGCCCACAGAAAACAGAATCACCACCAACCGAAGAAACTCAGAGAGAAAATCATCCTGAAGAAAGAGCACAGGTGCAAGAATTGGAAGAACAAGTTCCTAGTCCGGAGAACATTGAATCTAAAATCCCTGGAGATGATCAAATGACTGCGCCAACTGAACCTCCAAGTTCACCATCAAATGAGATTGAAGAGGAAGAAACTACAAAAGAAAAGCATCAACTGCAAAATGAAAAGCCCGGAGAATCACCGAGGCAGGAACCTGGAGAAGAAGTTCAAGAATCAACAAAACCTGAATCCCATCAGGAACCTGAGCAGCAAGAAACATCAAATCTGAATAACTTGGCAGATCAAACTAGTGAAGAAACTCAAGGGAAAGAAATTAAAGAAAAAGAAACTAGAGAAGAAATATCTAAAGAAAAAGTTGAGGAACATGAATCTCTGGAATTGGAGAAGCAAAACGATCTGAGTGAGGAAGCATCCCAAATGAAGAAGCATGTTGAAAAAATGTCCAAGATGTGTCCTCCTCTTGTTGTTGCAGGATCAGCCTTACTTGTATCTATTTTAGTGCTTGTTTTCCATTTCATTAGAGCTAAGAAAACATAAACCAAATTACATCCCAAATGGGATTGTATCAATCACGCATATTTTTTATACAAATTGTGACATTATTTATTTATAGTTAAATCAATACAATTATTTGCTTTTTTCTGATATGACAATACCAAAGATCATTTCTCAAATAAGATGCTGCAATTTTTCCTTATCAAAACTAGCATATTGTATAAAATTTTTGTAACATTTTGATTGAAGAACTTAAACACGCTCAATCTTTACGCTAAGTTGTCACTGCAGTTAAGGAGTTAATACCATAAAAAGTTGCAGAGTTTCATTAATCACACTATGACATAAAGGATCAAGTTCTTCAATTTTAGCCTGTGGAGTCTGAAACTTAAATCTTCTTCATAAACAAAAACTTAAAACTGTTCAGAATCATGAAAAGCATCCCATTGTTTTAATAGTCTTTCAGATGAATTTTTTTTAAACCAAATTTATCAAATATAGGTCTTGAATCTGATATTTTTCAATCCTTCTAGCAACTTTTAGATTGCCCCTATTTTTTTTTTTTTTTTTCATGTGACGTCTCAAATGCATAAATTTTGTGTCGGCGGCTACAGTTTTGGGCCTAAAGATATTAAGCTCACAACAAATTTATTTAAACGACTTTCTCCCACCCAAGGATTGCCTTAATGACACTTTCCCACCCAAAGTTAATATTCCCCTACCACCCAAAATACATTTCACTTTATCAACCGATGTTCGGCAAATCACCAGGAGTGAGGGTAAGAGAGGTTTTGTAAAGTGGAGGCCAATGGATCGAATGGTGGTGATAGATTAAATATTCACCGTCCAAATAAGTAAGAAATCAGTTAAAAATATAAAATCATAACTTTGAGATGACTGACAATCGGCAAGAAATCAAATGCCGAAGTGAAATGGGTTTTTTTATAAAGGAGACCAAAGGTTCAAATGATGGTGACGAAAAGAATTTTCGCGGTCGGAATCAACTTTAGGTAGTAACGGAATATTAACTTTGAGTGAAAAAGTAGTATTTTGAAACTTTTAAGGTGAAAAAGTCATTAAGACAAACTTTGGGTGGGAAAAGGCGTTGACTCAATTTATTTGGGGCGTCGTAGTAGTATTAATCATCAGCGGCGCATTTTGTGCAGTAAGTCATTGCATGGACAGCTACGCAAGTTAAGCATCGTACATCCTGCAATTCAAAGAAATGTGATTGCTCTGGTATAATTATAAAGGTAGTAGCAATAGCACATTTTTCTTGAGGAGAAGCTTGGTAGCTTTAGCTTTTCTCAAATCACATGTGAAAAAGACAAGAAGTTAAAATCGAATCTCAGTAAAACTTTTAACTGAAAAGCTGAAGTGAGTCAAAATTTGTTGCCTGGGAGCCAAGAACAGTTCATGTGATGTTATGTGGATGCTAGTGGATCAGAACATTTCGTGATAAGAACTGCAAACTTGCAACCGTTAAAGCAGTTAAAGCCGAATAACTTGAAAACAAAGCGACCCTTTGTACATAATTATAAAGGGCCCCATGATCAAGCTTTCAATCCAACAAAGTTAGGCTTGATAAAAAAAAATCTTACAAGAGAGAAGAACACTACTTTAATACTAAGAGAAAGTCTTCGATATATTCATCTTCCATATGCAACCAATCAATCAGACCATCAAAAGTCAGGCACAAATGACATTTTGGGCATGATGTGAAATGATATTATAATTCCTTATATGTTAAGCAAAGAAGAATATCTGCAATTATAGAAAAATAAATCCCCCGCGTTTTCTTTTCTTTTCTTTTCTTTTTAGTGAACTCGTGAAACAAAATTCAATAGAAAAGCAATCAAGTCTTTTTCTTAGCATCACAAACACCCACAGAGAGATACAATGCAAGTCACTTTCATATAATTAAAATCTCAATGACAACAGTCGCTGAACTTGCAAAAATATAGATATTCAATCTTGAGACTCTATTTGAGATGTTCAATTCCAGCCAAGAAAAGAAAACAAGACCCTTTTGATTACTAAAAGCTTTCGAGTTATGACAGCTAACAAGGTGTTGTGGTGAGGGCCACTGCTCTGGCTAGCATCTCCAGCTCCTTGGGTAGATTATATATGGCCAGAATTTGCATCGATCAGGTGGGGATGTTATGTGCCACCAACCGTGCCACTGCTCGATGTCAGGGATGCTGGGACAGCAGAGAGTAAGGGACACTTTTAACCAACAGAAATAAAGACAATAGTTTGAATGAACTTGAGGCAGAGAGTTAACAATTAAGAATTTTGAACGCATACCTGTTGGGTACAGCTGAGATGCCTTGCTGTTTCAAGAAGAGCTTAGAAACAGCGACAAAGGAGTCTTCATAAGCAGAATTTAGAAATTTACCTGTGAACAGTTCATACAAGCCTATGATATCAATATAATTGACACGGCAGAAGTATATATGAAACTAAGCTCTTTCTCAAGGTTGTAGATAAATTATTCTGCCGACAACAAAAGCAATTTCTAGCATTTATACTAAGAGATTGCAAGATATTTGTCGCAATCAATTGAAGGAACTTCGAGAGCAGGGGACACAGGAAGCCAACAATGAAGCAAAAATCATATGCTGAAGCTAGCATCATGAACATTAAACATACAAAGCTCAAATACATCCACATAACCAACACTTGAATCCATATCTGACACCAATATAGTATAGCCTTCTCTGGTGATTTCCATTAAGCGGGCAAAATTGGGTTACTTATTCACTATTCCAATTGAAAATCCAAAATTAAGTTAGAACCAGGACTCTACAACATTCATGTAATTTAGTAATATGGTATTATGGTTATATTCTTTTTTCAGATAAGACACAGGTAATATGATTATATTCATCTTGATGGTTGAGTAAACACCATTCCATGGAGATCAACCACACCATCTTTATCCCTAACCACTAAGAAAAGGACCAAGGAAAAAATACAACAAAGCATCCTTAGAGTAGAGGACTACCAAGCAGAAAATCAAGCACCTAATGAAAATTATTGATGTTTCATCCACAAATTCTGTTGACATAGCATTTTCTTGACTTCCAAATGGGACAGATTCAGAGTAAACGGCAGACACCAGAAAATCAATTGCTTGTGACATCGAACTCCACAATTGAATGCTATAAGTCATCTACGCATAAAACAGATAACAGAATACCCAAGACAAATTTCATTAGGAAGTACGTGGTGATGAATATTCATGACTTCATTGGGATATCACCAGCAGAAACTCCATCTTGTATGATAATTAAGGATGGAAAATAAATCATGGAGTTTAAGGAGAACATTTTAAACATTTCTTTATTTTCATTCCTCAAAAATATTATATTGTAGGAAACAAAGAACAGAGCACCATACATATTGGCCAGTCATCTTCCTGGAGACTGCAAATGCAAGTAGAGTACTCAATCGCGAGTACAAGGATGAGGATCCCTTATTTCATATCAGCAGTTGTAATTAGTTCTATGAGCAAGAAAAGTCACTAAAATAAAAAAGAGAGATTATAAACATAGTCTCTCATGCAAATTATGACAGCAGATTTAACAACCCTACCCGAGACACAAATCGTCAGCGTACAAGAAGAAGAATGAACTCCAACATCCTCAACTCTTCAAAACCAAGTTCACCACATTAGGTAGCTTGGCCACATATTATTTGAAGTCATTGCAACTCTATATACACCTTAGAAAAAATCAAAACATTGAACACTCGATTGATACTCTATGCAGCTTGTACTTGCATTGAAAACAAAATGAAATAACAAAAATTTACAGTAACACTTTGCTCTTTCCAATACACAGCATGTACAGAAGCCAAAATTGGGGAAAAAAACTGCCAAAACAAAATCAACTACAGCACCAAGATGCAATTTACTCAGAAATTTGATTATACAACAGAAACACAAAAGAAGGACATCATCATCGCGAAATGTGATTATCCCATTTCATATCCTACTTTCTTTACACAATATATGCTGATAAATACAATGAAAATTTTCCTCCTTACCCCGTTTATTTCCAGTGCCATCCTCCAACACTCTTACCTTTATCTTCCAGGCATTCCCAAAAAGCAAAAATACAACGAAACCCATTTGCACTTTTCACACCTGACACCTATAATCAAATTTTCAAATACAAACTAATCAGGACCATGCATCCTTCCAAAGCAATCAAGTCCTTCGGTTCGGCTGCGCACGATCTTATGAAACACCTCTCTCACATGTCTCTCCAACGGGTCCAATCCCTCTTTTATTGTTTCGCAAACAATTGATAATTCCTTCACTTTTTGTCTCACCTCGCCCTCCTTCTCCTCGGCCACTGGATACTGAATCGAATCCAACAACTCGTTCATCAACCTCGTGCTTTTCTCAATCTGATGAATCTCCCTCATCAACCCGCAAGCATTTCTCCTCTCTCGTTTCTTCGACTCCTCCAAAATCTTCTCGTGCAATACCATCATCGGCCCCGCCCAAATAAATTGCCTAGACACCGGAAAATGCACTTGCAAACCACGATCCTGACACGGAATAGCCGCCACAAGCGCCCACATTACAAACAACAATAACGAACTCATGGTGAACACCAACGCGGCAAGCCCATTTGTAGCCATAATTTCATTACCCTTTGGAGCATACAAATTATTCCCAATCGCCTGCAACTGCCGAGCAGCCGACCAAGACCTCGAAACACTCCATGACAATGATCGAAAATGCCCCAAGGATCGATTGTGATGATCCTTCAAGTTATTCCTCCCAAAAGACCGGTTCCGATGAGCCAAAGCCGTGCCGGAATCTTTCTCATCAAGCATACTAATCGCCAAATCAATCACAGCCTTCTTAGCTCGCCGAACCTGTCCTTCACATAACATTCTCCGATCATCCAAAGCAATAAGAACGATTTCAATAAGCTTCTGCCACTGTCTGATCTGCTCAATCCCATCACGAATCGCATTGCAAACGTCAAGCGCCTTCACGCTCCGTTCAGAATACTCAGCAATAAGCCGATCCATCGGTGCCTTATGAAGCTGCGACCTATTATTAAACAAAACAACACGAAACTCATCCTGCGAAACGAGGAACAAGTCGAGAAGCTTCTGAACCCACGCAAGCGAGAGCAACTCGTCCGAACCGGACGACAAGTCCATGAACCGGTCCGAAATCTTCCGCTGGAAGGACTCCAGGTCGACCTCGGGAGAGGAACCGGAGACGGTGTCGCTGTCCATGGAATGAACGGCCTGATCGCGGCGGAGACTGAGAATGGAACGGCCGAGGTTGGAGAAAGGCGCCGCCGATGAGCCCTGGCAGTCGGTGGCGGGCATGATTACATGAAAGAAAGGAAATTTGAGGTGCGGAGATGGAGAATTGAAGTGGGAAAATGGTGGAATTGTGAGAAAATTAGGGGAGAGTGAGAATTGAGGAACCCTAATAAGTGGAGAGTGGGATTTTATTGGGGGAGTTTCGGACCGCGTAATTTGGTAGTTGGAAAGAGAAAGTTCTTCAAACGGATAAATTATTGTTACTATATTCGGAATTTACTATTACTTTATTAATTATTTTAGAGGGGAATTTAATTAGTTATTTGATCAAATAATGATATTAAAATTTGTGATAAATTTTATGAGTTTAAATGGGTTTGTTGGCTACTTAATTCTAATGATTTTATACCATATTATTTTGGAGGGGACTATAATAAATAATTGAATTTGATGAAATAATATTATTGAGTTAATATAGTAAGATACCCTTTTATTTAATTGATAACACATTTATAAACATGTCTTACCGAAATTATGACATTATTTTATCTTAATAATGGTTACTTTATATTATTACTTTTAGCCATAGATATCATAATTCCTAATACTTTAGATTAAAAAAGAAATTATGTATTCATCCTCATATATTATTACTAAAGTTAGGATACTGTAATTTAATTTTCAAGTAAATTCTTTATACTATTTTAGGCTGTCTATCCTATAATTTCACTATATTAAGATATCTTGTATAAACATAAAAATAATTATTACTAACTGTTTAATTTAACACCATCAAATTATAGAAGTTCATTCAAAATTGTAAGTAGAAGGTTTTTTTTTTTTTTTAAATAAATACTTCTTTTTTTTTAACTATAATGAAATATTTTAATATTTGTGTTTGTTCATAGGTGGTATATTTTTTTTCATTTTCATAAATTTGTTTTGGGATGAGCATAGGGATTCACTAAATCTTGTACACGCGGTAAGGCAGTACACACGCAGTGGACACGGCCGATGGGAAGAGATCTGAGCCGTTGATTAACAATAAAGCGTCAAAGTCCGAAGAGCAGTACTTGGTGCATTGATATTTCGCCACGTGGCGTAGTCTTGTCCTGTTTGTCCACGTGAGATTAAGCGATGATTTTACTGACAAAAGCCCAGTCATTTTTTAGGCTCGGACACGCGGCAGCTACAGCTGAGTCTTCGTTGGCGCGTAATGCAGGAGAGCGACTTGGTCTTCTGTTTCTTATTCTTTCTTCTAGAAGAAGAGACCTCTATATTGACGAAATTACCACTAATAATACCAATATATCCCAATCTACTTAGCTTTTTTTTTTAAATTTAGGAAATTCTAAATTATCATTTTAAGGATAAATTGGAATGAGAATTTGTTAACTGTTATTGGGTGACCCCATAATAGAATAATAAAATTAGGTTTTTTAAGCTTTTGAGAAAGTGCTAATAAAGGTGGTTACTAAAGGATTATTGGATCGGATTTTTAAGGTGATCAAACTTTTAAGACTCTGAAAAATTAATTGAGATACATATAAATTGATTTTAATATTAATATGATTAGAAAAAAAGGAAAATTATCAAATCAAAATGACAAAAACAATAATAATATTGATGAATAAATTATTCAATAATGCTACAGACATCGGGATTTTACACCAAAATTTTATACCGGCTTACATGTCTCCTGACTCAAACCATTCAACGCATTTAACGTTATTAATTTTTTTTTTAAATATAAAAATTTTAAAAAAAATCTAGAATGGATGACCGTCCTTTTTTTTTGGACGGGCGTCCCTACTCTAATTAAAAAGCTTCAAGCTTCAAGTCCTAACTTCTCATCTTCCATAACCTTTTGCAACTCACTCGACGTTGTTTCAAAGCTCATAACCAATGGCTTCTTCTATGCCTTCCTCTACTTCTTCTTTCTCTACAGCTTTTCACACTTTCGCACAACCCAAAACCGAGGAAAAGTTATGGATTGCAAAGAGAACCCATGCTGCAAAAAGGCAGATTTAGATAACCCAAGTGAAGATTTGATTGAGGGAGTCAATGAAGAAGCCATGGAAGGCCATGAAGAAGAAGAAGTGGCGTCAAAAAAGCTCATGGGTTGTGCGAAAGCATGAAAGACATTTTTTTTTTTTATATATATTTTTGTTATAGCATTTTTGGCTTCCTGATAGAGAAAAGAAGCTCCACCTGCTTCGGTGCAATTTTTTCGGTAGATATAGTATTTTTGTAAATTATTTAGGAACTATGATTTAAACCACGAAAAAATTTAACGAGTTGACGATAAATGAGTTGAATGAATTCGGATAGATAATTTATAAAAAAAAATATTTATTAAGAAAATATATTGAATTATCATTTTAATTAAAATCAATAACTATACAATTTAATTATTTTATTTGAAACAATACAAATATCTGACAAAAGAGAATCTTAATCTTTAATTAAAATGATGTTTTACATATTTATCAATAAATATCTGAAAACTTATCTCCAAAAACCAACTCTGATTAGGACAACTTCCAACAAAATATTGCCACATATTTTTTTGGCCAAAACCTTATTTAAATAATAAAATAATAATAATATGATAATAACACAAACTCAGAAAGGGAATCTGTCTTAATCTTCTTAATTAATTGATCAATTAATTATAATAACATCTCACGTGTGGCTTTTTTTTTTTTTTTTGTGATTAACTTTTGGGCAGGCTCTTCATTGAAACATAAACACAGACAGCTGGGCAGAATGTGATTCTCCCAATGTAATTATACTACAAGTAGGAGACATAAAGCTTCAACACTATATTTCTTTATCAGAGATTCCCTTAACACTTTTTTTTTTCATATTTTTTTCTTGTTTTTTTGTTAACAAAATTAAAATCAGATTATTGTGCTTCCATGTAGCAAAATACGAGAACAAATGGTTTACTTCCATAAAGTTTGGGATTCAAATTCCTAAGTTTGTAGCGTTTAACGGGATGCTAATTTCGAACTTGGGTTCTCGACACATTGTCGGAGGACAAATTTAAAATTATTCCAAGTTAAAATCCATCAATTAATTATATAAATAGGTCTTCAACTAAATGAATTCATCTTATTTTACAGAGTCAAAGTTGTTTGACTTTTTTTTTTTTTTTTTTAAAGTTTGAAGAGTTCAATAAGCTCTCAAATTCTCAATACAATTCTTGGCCTATAAAGGCAACCTGATTTGGTCAAAGAACTACTGAATATTCACCTTTATTAATTTCACAAATTAACCAAATTGAAGGAAAAAAAAAAGACCCAATTTGCCTAGACTAGTCTTATACAAAATGGGTCTTCAAAAGTTAGGTGTTGAGTTCTTTAATAAAGATTATCCATAATTAATGACTTGAAGATGTCGATGGGATAAGATCTTCATAAATTTTCATATCCCATTGACAAGAATATAATGAATGAATCTGCAAGCAAAAGGAAATTGAATATGCTAATTTATTTTATTCTTAAATTTTGAATATGGTTGACATTATCAAATAGTTAAAGCTATTATTTCACTTTATCTTAGAATTATTTTATCAAAATTAAACAATATTACTTTCTAAAATAATACAAAATTTTGAGTATTTAAAACATACATTTAATAAATGTTAAAGAGTCACATGTGACAGATTTTCAGGTATTGTTACTTTCAACCTTTTAAGAATTATGATGCTTTCGCTTCATGCAAAAATAGGTTTCTACTAAAAAAAAAAGAAAAAAAAGCACATCATATCATCGATCAAATATCATTATCTACCAATTATTATATTTTAATCATCAAACAAACGGTTAATATTAACAGTTAGCATTTCATGAAATAAGTAGCCTAGAAAGGTGCATGAACCCAGAAGAAGAAATTACAATCAGACTATCAACATCAAAACAAAAATAATTAAATAATTTATAAAACTCTATAAATAAAAAAGTTGTGGACCTAAAATCTGACCACAGCCTCAAGTTGCTGTTGTCCCAATTAAAATTGAAGTTTATAGCTGGAGCTCCAACTTGTGGTCCTTATCATTTATTTATATAATATGGGTCAGTCACTTCATGACATGGGGACGATAACATTATTATTTTATTTTTAAACAATCAATAAGATTTGGGATTTGTTTTTGTCCTTGGCTTAACTAGCAAGAAACCCAAAACTTTAACCAGAAAAATGCATATTCTATTCAACAAAAGCTGACATCAAATTTAACACATGTTGAAGAAAAATAGTATACTATTTTCGTAAACTATATGTTATTTTATTTATTTATAATTTATAATAAAGTAAAAGAATTTGATAGAGAAAGCATAACCTCCTACCACTTCGAGATTAATTTATTTTTGGTATTTTTGGCCAGACTTGGTGAAGCTTGGGACTGGGACGTGTGTGCCTTAATGAAGGGTCAAATTATTGTAATCAAAACTGCTATAGTGGGGGCCTTTGCCACCATTGAATATTGAAAGGACAAGACTTATCTTGTAGCAGGAGATGAATTTAACTTGTCTTCTTCTCTTCTTCTGGTTGTTCTTCTACAACAAAACTTGACTTTCACTCTTTCATCAAACACCTTTTCTACTATGGTTAGGCAAAATATGACATAAACTACAGGCACAATAATTGATTCCTTGGTCCTACTACATTATTGTCGAGATGAAAAATCTGATAAACATTACCCAACTGGGGTTTTGGTTAAATATTGAAGTTCACATTTAAAATGTTGTCCATCAACTTATAATATCATATTTTCTTACCACTTATACATCATAGTTAATTAGTTATTACCCACTTACTAGTCATTCCTTCCGGATATGAAACCCAATTAGGTTCTTTATAGTTTCAAATGATGTATATCTAAATTGTGAGGTGGGAAATATTTCTTCGTGAATTTGAGCAATAACCAGAAGAAATTGGTCTTAAATTATTGCCACAAGATTAATATCTTAATGGAACTAGCTAGAGCAGTTGGTAGACTGCTGTTTTTAAGTGATGATCTCAAAGATGGGACCCTAATTTTGGTCTCTCATGACATGGCCAAAGACTAATAATCGAAACCCCACAAAGCTCCCCAACCAGACAACAGAAGCAGGCTCTAGTCTATAATCTCTCGCCACCTTGACTTTGAAAGAATCCATCAATTTCAATTCAATAACTCAAAACAAGGACCACAACTTTCTCTCTCAATCTTACACTGCATGCTAATTTACTTGAAACCCACAAAATCTTGAAGCTAAAAAAGATAGTTAAATTGATTAATAATAATAATAATAATTATAATAATAAACAAAGAGGGTTAGGGAAACAATCAGATAAAGTTTTGGAATCATTCAACCACCATTCAAACTAACAAGTAGTTGTGGGTGGTTTTTACTTTTTTAGATTCGTTTTTTTATTCAACTTCCAGGGCAAACAGGATAAAGATACGTAAAAAGATAAAGAAAAAGAATCTCCAGGATCCACGGCGGCATTAAAGAAGAGGAGACCATGTGAAAGTTTACCTGGGAATAAAATGTCTTGGAGAGAGCCAAGAAAAGCCATAAATTTCTCCAGGCAGCAATGTATCTCTGTCGACTGAATCATTATAATAACAGTATTAATGGACGAAACTTATTGACCAAGACATAAAAAAGCATTTGATAGTTAGAAGAAAATCATATCGGTAAAAGCATATTATAAATATTGCAAATATCAAGTAGTCTAGAATCATAGAATCCAGTCACATCTCACCTTACTTTTCTTCTTCTCTATAGTTTTCTCTTTTTTGGTCTTAACGACTCGAGAATCCCAGTTCACATTGCTGAATGTGACCATGCTTGACAAATACATAGCACAAAATAAACGTAAATTCCAATACATCAAATCTTTACCTTAGACAGACCAAATTTGGACAGTCAAAACTGAAATCATCCTTATATATACGGAATTTTGTGCACAAGAAGATAAAAATACATTCATTTTCCTTGCGGAGTGCCTTTTTTCTCATTAAATTGACATGCTTGATTGGAGCATATGTGGGTTCCCCGAAATGACTGCTAGCAGACATTGAGGTCAAGGCTTCTGATTTAGCGAAATTCTTTGATGCGTAACTAAAAAGTAACTTGAAAGATGAGAGGATAGCTGAACCACCACCAGGGAAATCCGTTAATTAGACCTTTCAACGAGTTTATAACTTTATATCACTATCTTTAGCAACAACATCAACCACGAAGATGCTTCCTGAATCGGACCAACCACCCAATACATCCGTGTCAGGGCACTGTGGCATGAATTAACATGAAACATGTGAGATTACGATCATTTGTCCTCTATTAACAACACAAGAAGCTCTCATCATACAGACTAAAGGGCTACTATTAGAAAATATCGACTAAAAATTGCAGATTAATGCAAATCTAGAACCGACTGATTAATGTCACGGCTCTATTATGAGTAAAGTCTGCAAACTCTACTCTTCTAAAATATTGTACAGGTTGTTATACAGTCACAAAATATCAAACCTAATCATGCACAAAATGAAAAGTTTTCAAAGCAAACATATATAAGTTTTCTTCACAGCAGAATTTATGGTTTAACTTCAAACAGAAAAAGTCAGCCCAGAACCTTTTCATTGGACCTAGAATTATTTGGGCCTACTAGAGGCTAGTGTCAGTATTCACATGGATGCATAGCTGGAGACACAGAATTAAGAAGAATATAATACCTTACCAAACCCAAGCCAGTTTGAGTCTCCTCTAAATGAAAATACCTTACTGCTTTCTCTCCACTGCCCACAAAAGACCTGCAAATATACATTCCATATCAAAACAATGGAGAATAAAAAGAAACTCTTACAATGTTAACTATTAAGAAAGATAATCAACATTATCCATATGTTCCAGATTAACACCAAAAACTACTGAACTTCAGCAGTTTCTCTATCACATGAAGTTGCTATAATAAACATTTGGCATTATGTAAGCTGTTTCTCATGCTCTTATAGTAACAGCCAAGCACAAATAAAACTGAATCATGCCATTCCACAGCATAATTTTCTGAACCTATATAACAGCATGCTGTCCAGTGATTCCAGTCTTATTTTTTGGGCCTATGCTAAATTGTTTCTACTTTAAAAAGTTTATTTATGACCAAAAGATGCAAAACAGAGTCATTCATATCCAGTGCAATTTGCGATAATAAAGGTCAAATTAGAGAATTATCTAAGCAGCAATCTGGAATCAGGAATGAAATAAAAGGTGGTTAGATTTATGGAGATTCATATTCTCCATTAACCAGAAGAGAAAAATAAAATGAACCATGTTTTGAAATAATATATTAATGTCCTTAGATGACTAAGAGGAAAAGGGTGGTAGCATCAAAGATTAAAAAATAATCACCTCATAATCAACCCCTTGCACATAGATGTAATCAGAGTTGATTGATGAAAAAGCAAGTCCAGTTATCTGAAATACCAAGAAAGAAAAGTTATGTTTGGTGGCAACAATGTGTCCAACAGCCAATGCACAAACTTAATAAGCTTGAACAAAACAGAGGAAATTCATTTAACATAAATGTGGCAAAAACAACATTACTTATTGAAAGGAAATGCATGTCTAGCACATGAAATTCTTACTATATTCTGTGTTACCACAAAATTAGAAGACGCATGGCTATCATTGCCTCATAACATAAGCTCGTATCCTAGTGCATACAATCTGTGTAAAACCTGTTCCACCAACAAATCCACAAACTCTACACATAACAAAATTTTTGCAATCTTTGGTGACTTCAGTAGTCATTCAGGACCTAAAAATAACTAGTCTCACTTAGCTTAGGCAAAAGTTATCAGCAAAGGACAAGTATTGACTATATTTGAAGAACATAAGACATCATCAAAAACTAAGTCAACAATGTAACGCAACAGTGCAGAATATAGTCCAAAATAAAAATCATTCTCATATTTTGCTGTATAGAAATACTTCAGAAGATGGACCATAATGACCTAATAAATATCTTATGATCATCGCCTTTATAGGTGATAAAAGAAAAAGAAAAATAACCAGCAGGTTGTAAAGTCAAGGGTTCTAAATGAGGTTGGTTAAAGATTTGATAATAGTTGGAGCATCACCAGGCCAGGTTGAGTCCAAGGGCCTGATATAATTATAGTAGGAAACAAATTATTTATGACTACAATTTCTTAAACTGCAGCCACTTGAAGAAGCCAGAATTGTCAGTATAAATTAATTGCCACAACACCTAAGTCTGTCCCTGAATATCGGCATAGACTAATCGGAAAAGAGCCCAAAATAATGACATGAACCAAGGAGAAAGTCATCAGCTCTATTAACTTACCTCATATTTTGAACAGTGCGCCCATCTTGATAGTGCTGACCATCTACATACAAGACAAAAAAGAAAAAAAAATTAGGAGTTAACTCTGTTCAAGGTGATGCTTTTGTCACCCCAATTCCCACTGACCCATCTTCTATGCTAACAAATGGACATAAAGAATTACAATATCATTCTAATGGGAGAATGAACTACTCAGTCGTGCATAAGTAGAACAAAATAATTAGAAAAAAAAGGGCCACAAACAATTAGAATGGATGATGTGTATTGTTCACATCAATTAATGAAAAACCTGCGAGGATCATAAATTGTCACAGTACGGTCAGCTCCTGCCACTGCAACATTACCAGTTGGAGAACCACAGGCAGCATATAAATTGTCACCAACAGAGCCGCAAATTCGACGTAGACAACCACCATTTTCTTTCGTTCTCAGGTCCCATAAAGTCAGCTGTAGTAATTCCAAAAGTTGAAGCAGAGCAACAGCATGTAAAGTACTGAGATCAAGCTCATTCAATACACTGAAGAAAATGAAATATACAACCGCACAAAATTTACCTGGCAGCCTTCAGTGACAGCTAATATTGAACTTCCATTTCCATTACTTAAATTCTGCATGAAGTTCAATGAAGATGGATACCAGAGTCTGAAACATAGTTAAATGAAAAAGAAATCAATGAAAATAGGACCACAAATAGGTAACTAAATACAGACAAATTGCCTGAGCAACTAAAAATGCCAGGGATTCATATTAACAGAATGTCTTCAGGGTTCTGTACCACAATAGTAAAAGTAAGCCACTAAAATGTCACATAATAAACAAGGCCCAAAAACTAATTGCTCTAGTTTTATAGTCATACAGTACCATTAAAACCAGACAACAGAAGCAGGCTCTAGTCTATAATCTCTCGCCAGTCGCCACCTTGACTTTGAAAGAATCCATCAATTTCAATTCAATAACTCAAAACAAGGACCACAACTTTCTCTCTCAATCTTACACTGCATGCTAATTTACTTGAAACCCACAAAATCTTGAAGCTAAAAAAGATAGTTAAATTGATTAATAATAATAATAATAATTATAATAATAAACAAAGAGGGTTAGGGAAACAATCAGATAAAGTTTTGGAATCATTCAACCACCATTCAAACTAACAAGTAGTTGTGGGTGGTTTTTACTTTTTTAGATTCGTTTTTTTATTCAACTTCCAGGGCAAACAGGATAAAGATACGTAAAAAGATAAAGAAAAAGAATCTCCAGGATCCACGGCGGCATTAAAGAAGAGGAGACCATGTGAAAGTTTACCTGGGAATAAAATGTCTTGGAGAGAGCCAAGAAAAGCCATAAATTTCTCCAGGCAGCAATGTATCTCTGTCGACTGAATCATTATAATAACAGTATTAATGGACGAAACTTATTGACCAAGACATAAAAAAGCATTTGATAGTTAGAAGAAAATCATATCGGTAAAAGCATATTATAAATATTGCAAATATCAAGTAGTCTAGAATCATAGAATCCAGTCACATCTCACCTTACTTTTCTTCTTCTCTATAGTTTTCTCTTTTTTGGTCTTAACGACTCGAGAATCCCAGTTCACATTGCTGAATGTGACCATGCTTGACAAATACATAGCACAAAATAAACGTAAATTCCAATACATCAAATCTTTACCTTAGACAGACCAAATTTGGACAGTCAAAACTGAAATCATCCTTATATATACGGAATTTTGTGCACAAGAAGATAAAAATACATTCATTTTCCTTGCGGAGTGCCTTTTTTCTCATTAAATTGACATGCTTGATTGGAGCATATGTGGGTTCCCCGAAATGACTGCTAGCAGACATTGAGGTCAAGGCTTCTGATTTAGCGAAATTCTTTGATGCGTAACTAAAAAGTAACTTGAAAGATGAGAGGATAGCTGAACCACCACCAGGGAAATCCGTTAATTAGACCTTTCAACGAGTTTATAACTTTATATCACTATCTTTAGCAACAACATCAACCACGAAGATGCTTCCTGAATCGGACCAACCACCCAATACATCCGTGTCAGGGCACTGTGGCATGAATTAACATGAAACATGTGAGATTACGATCATTTGTCCTCTATTAACAACACAAGAAGCTCTCATCATACAGACTAAAGGGCTACTATTAGAAAATATCGACTAAAAATTGCAGATTAATGCAAATCTAGAACCGACTGATTAATGTCACGGCTCTATTATGAGTAAAGTCTGCAAACTCTACTCTTCTAAAATATTGTACAGGTTGTTATACAGTCACAAAATATCAAACCTAATCATGCACAAAATGAAAAGTTTTCAAAGCAAACATATATAAGTTTTCTTCACAGCAGAATTTATGGTTTAACTTCAAACAGAAAAAGTCAGCCCAGAACCTTTTCATTGGACCTAGAATTATTTGGGCCTACTAGAGGCTAGTGTCAGTATTCACATGGATGCATAGCTGGAGACACAGAATTAAGAAGAATATAATACCTTACCAAACCCAAGCCAGTTTGAGTCTCCTCTAAATGAAAATACCTTACTGCTTTCTCTCCACTGCCCACAAAAGACCTGCAAATATACATTCCATATCAAAACAATGGAGAATAAAAAGAAACTCTTACAATGTTAACTATTAAGAAAGATAATCAACATTATCCATATGTTCCAGATTAACACCAAAAACTACTGAACTTCAGCAGTTTCTCTATCACATGAAGTTGCTATAATAAACATTTGGCATTATGTAAGCTGTTTCTCATGCTCTTATAGTAACAGCCAAGCACAAATAAAACTGAATCATGCCATTCCACAGCATAATTTTCTGAACCTATATAACAGCATGCTGTCCAGTGATTCCAGTCTTATTTTTTGGGCCTATGCTAAATTGTTTCTACTTTAAAAAGTTTATTTATGACCAAAAGATGCAAAACAGAGTCATTCATATCCAGTGCAATTTGCGATAATAAAGGTCAAATTAGAGAATTATCTAAGCAGCAATCTGGAATCAGGAATGAAATAAAAGGTGGTTAGATTTATGGAGATTCATATTCTCCATTAACCAGAAGAGAAAAATAAAATGAACCATGTTTTGAAATAATATATTAATGTCCTTAGATGACTAAGAGGAAAAGGGTGGTAGCATCAAAGATTAAAAAATAATCACCTCATAATCAACCCCTTGCACATAGATGTAATCAGAGTTGATTGATGAAAAAGCAAGTCCAGTTATCTGAAATACCAAGAAAGAAAAGTTATGTTTGGTGGCAACAATGTGTCCAACAGCCAATGCACAAACTTAATAAGCTTGAACAAAACAGAGGAAATTCATTTAACATAAATGTGGCAAAAACAACATTACTTATTGAAAGGAAATGCATGTCTAGCACATGAAATTCTTACTATATTCTGTGTTACCACAAAATTAGAAGACGCATGGCTATCATTGCCTCATAACATAAGCTCGTATCCTAGTGCATACAATCTGTGTAAAACCTGTTCCACCAACAAATCCACAAACTCTACACATAACAAAATTTTTGCAATCTTTGGTGACTTCAGTAGTCATTCAGGACCTAAAAATAACTAGTCTCACTTAGCTTAGGCAAAAGTTATCAGCAAAGGACAAGTATTGACTATATTTGAAGAACATAAGACATCATCAAAAACTAAGTCAACAATGTAACGCAACAGTGCAGAATATAGTCCAAAATAAAAATCATTCTCATATTTTGCTGTATAGAAATACTTCAGAAGATGGACCATAATGACCTAATAAATATCTTATGATCATCGCCTTTATAGGTGATAAAAGAAAAAGAAAAATAACCAGCAGGTTGTAAAGTCAAGGGTTCTAAATGAGGTTGGTTAAAGATTTGATAATAGTTGGAGCATCACCAGGCCAGGTTGAGTCCAAGGGCCTGATATAATTATAGTAGGAAACAAATTATTTATGACTACAATTTCTTAAACTGCAGCCACTTGAAGAAGCCAGAATTGTCAGTATAAATTAATTGCCACAACACCTAAGTCTGTCCCTGAATATCGGCATAGACTAATCGGAAAAGAGCCCAAAATAATGACATGAACCAAGGAGAAAGTCATCAGCTCTATTAACTTACCTCATATTTTGAACAGTGCGCCCATCTTGATAGTGCTGACCATCTACATACAAGACAAAAAAGAAAAAAAAATTAGGAGTTAACTCTGTTCAAGGTGATGCTTTTGTCACCCCAATTCCCACTGACCCATCTTCTATGCTAACAAATGGACATAAAGAATTACAATATCATTCTAATGGGAGAATGAACTACTCAGTCGTGCATAAGTAGAACAAAATAATTAGAAAAAAAAGGGCCACAAACAATTAGAATGGATGATGTGTATTGTTCACATCAATTAATGAAAAACCTGCGAGGATCATAAATTGTCACAGTACGGTCAGCTCCTGCCACTGCAACATTACCAGTTGGAGAACCACAGGCAGCATATAAATTGTCACCAACAGAGCCGCAAATTCGACGTAGACAACCACCATTTTCTTTCGTTCTCAGGTCCCATAAAGTCAGCTGTAGTAATTCCAAAAGTTGAAGCAGAGCAACAGCATGTAAAGTACTGAGATCAAGCTCATTCAATACACTGAAGAAAATGAAATATACAACCGCACAAAATTTACCTGGCAGCCTTCAGTGACAGCTAATATTGAACTTCCATTTCCATTACTTAAATTCTGCATGAAGTTCAATGAAGATGGATACCAGAGTCTGAAACATAGTTAAATGAAAAAGAAATCAATGAAAATAGGACCACAAATAGGTAAATAAATACAGACAAATTGCCTGAGCAACTAAAAATGTCAGGGATTCATATTAACAGAATGTTTTCAGGGTTCTGTACCACAATAGTAAAAGTAAGCCACTAAAATGCCACATAATAGACAAGGCCCAAAAACCAATTGCTCTAGTTTTATAGTCATACAGTACCATTAATATATACCACATATATATCCAAAATTATATTTAACTGAATCCATAGATCTGCATCACAGTCATTCCATCTCCAACCACGAGATTATGCATTACCTATTTCTCTATCTGAAGTCATAGTGAACATGAAATTTGAAAAATATCCAAGCAAGCTCATAAAATCAACATACTCTCGAGCTTCATTTTCTCCAGGAGACATCAATACCAACACATGATAAATGGAATTCGTACAAACATATGTGACTCCTATTCAAAGTAACAAGGGGAAAAAGACTATATACATCATACATGAAACTTACGTGCGTAAAGTCCTGAGGTGGATATCTTGATCATAAACATCAATGCTTTTGCTAAAGCTACGTGCCACAGCTGCCTAGAATGAGAGACTAATTAGCAAAAAGGAAGCATAATTTGAGTTATCAAAGACTTTAGTCCAGAGAAAATGAAAAAAAAAATATATCAAACATTTTAAATGATTTAATTACACAAAAGTGAAATGCACAGAAAACAAAAGGAGAAGAGCAAGGCACTTATCTTTTGTCTCCTCAGAAAAATCAACATGGGCAGTATACAAGTAGCATAACTTCACACTTCTAAGTGATTTGTAAGTAAATAATATTTAGTTGCAACTCAGAAAAATCTGTATGTCCACAGGTTTTAGGATGTTTCAACATTCATGGTGCAAAATCAAATTATCAATGCCATATCATTTCAGCTAGTAAATCATCACAACAGTCAGAAAATGATATATTCTACAAGATTCTGTTTCTATAGCATTAGATTCACTGGTTTTCTTTTCTTACTGACCCATTGATAACATGGCCAAACATGCAAAAGATATTGGCAAGATACGGACTAATCAGCAAAGTTTAAATTTGCCATTAAACAAACTAGGTACCATGGACCATTGACTTGGACTGAAGCAAAGCCCCGCCCAGCTACCTTCTCCAACACCACAATCCTGAGGCAACACTGAATAGGTAAGCCTTTCGACATCTGAAAATTTCACAAACACATTGATAAGACATTTTTACTGGGGTGGGGGGTATTGAATACCCAAGTTGTGAAAAGTATTCGAGAAAGAAGAAAAACTTAATAACATAGGCTGAATAAAACCATGCCTTTAAACAAAATTCACAACGAAGAATGGCTTCCAGTTTAATAGTTTCTGTATAGAATCATATCATACAAGTTTACAATCCAAACTTCATAACAATCTAAACAAGGACAATAAGGAATGTACCTTTACCACTAGTATCCAGTTTTGAGACAATAAGGTGACCATAAGAATCCACACTTCCCAACACAAAGTAACCTTTACCTGCAGATACGAGTCACTGTATTTAATAATTTAACTATAAGTTTGGTGTAAATACACACAAGTTCCATGATTTAGAAAATAATTACAAAAGTGAAGTTACGTTAGAGCCTGTTGTTGTACGACATTTTCTTAACTCTCAAATGACTTTTAAGTCCTATAACTATCATTTCCTACAAAAAAACACTATATTTTTCTTTCAGCAATAAGGAAGATTACATTATTCCCATTATTAGATACAAAGTCTTAAAAAAATTTGAATTGATACAAAGTCTTAAAAAAAAATTTGAATTGAATTTTTATCGTTCATCTCTTTTAAACTTAAACATCATCTAATACTATCTTTAAGAAGATATGATGAACCACAAATGTAGCATTCCACTCCAAGAATACACAAGTTACTTACTATCAGTTTCTGCAAGCACTATACTCTGAATTTCTGAACGATGGGGGCATCGGTTAAGTAATGACGCATCCATAGCCTTGAAAAACAAAATTCAAATGAAAAAGCAGACGGGATTAATGCAGAACTCAATAGGGAAGACAAAAAATAGCTGGTACAAAATCCTGTTAATCTCAGATAAGCAGAAAACTCTAAAAACAACAACAAGGTCAGGACTGGAAATACCTGTGTCTGTTGAGGAATCAGCAGGCTCTCCTTCCCCTCATTGACCAAGGAATCTTCCATCATAATCTACAAAAGGAAAAAAAAAAATCCAAATTAATTTCAAAAACAGCCATTAACAACAAATGATTATGCTTGTTCTAGGACTAAGAAATAGGCTTCATTTTGCTACAGCTCCTCTGAGCATTAACTTATATAAATAGAGCTTTAACAAAAAACTCTTTTTTGTTGGACTACTAATCACGTATTTTAGTAAAAAAAAACTGTGAAATTACATGCAAACGCCACTCTTAAATTTGAATTCATAAAACAATACAAGGAACGTTACATTGCAGAATTTCACATCCTAAAAAAAAAGAGCTTATCGTCAAATTTCTCAAATTGCAACCAAACAACTAGAAAAATTGAAAACAGACTTTGGCGTTAGAACAATCTTGAAATTCCAAAATCCACACAAGTAGCAGTAAGATTTCCAAATTAGTTAAGCAAAAATTTCTATCAAATTAAAACTAAATTGAAAAACATAATCTGAATAATTATAAAAATATAGAAATGAAAGCACCTGGACTTTGTAGATGTGGCAGCCAGAGGCAATGTAAACCAAACAGGAAGAGGCGTCCTCGTTAACCTGACCAAAAACAAAAAAAAAGAAACGAAAGATGGATTTAGCATCAAAAGAATAATAAAAATAATAATGAAGAAGTGAGAGAGATACATGAAGAGCGAGACGAGTTGACTGGAGGTTTCCAGGAGATGGATTGTCTATTAAAGTTGATGGCACCACTGCCTTTCTCAGACTCTTGGCCTCCAGCGAAGCCATTGCTGCACGCTTGTTCGGTCGTTTTGGCGGGAAATTTGTTTGTTTTGCGGTGGTAGAAAGTAATGCAGGGAGGGTTTTGGTCAGTTAGGGAAGGAGGGAAAAGATGAGAAAGGGTTTTAGCCTGGACGTTGGGCTCTGTTTGGCTCGCTGTATGTAGAAATGATTTTGTAGAAAGTGTTTTTATTTTTACACTATTTTGTAAATATTATGATGTGGTATATGCTACAACCACACAAATTCTATTATAATATTAAAAATTTATGTGGTTGTAACATATGTCATATCATGATATAATAAAAATTGTGTAAAAGAGTGATGTACGTGTAACAGTACTTATTTAAAAATGCTTTTGTTGAAAATGTTTTTCTTTTTTTGAAAAAAAAAAACATTAAACTACATTTGAACACTTATTTAATTTACAATACAATTTAAAATATTATTCAAGATACTTATTACTTGTTAATATCATACTATTTAATAGTAGAAAGTAAATTATCAAAATATAATTATAATGTGTTTGTTTATTTATTCTAATTTTTTACATCCTCGCTAATTTTTTTTAGTTAACTAAAATGTTGCTATGTTTATTTTGTAACATATGATTAAAACAAATAAAATAATTCTTTAGATAGGAAATAATACATCTACCTTACCCAAGAAAAGGTATTGTGTATATATATACTCAATTACTCATAGAGTGTGTAGATTCATGAATGTGTTTTTTTTTTTTTCCTAAATTTTAAAAAATGCTCTTATACATTTTTCAAAAATTATTTCATTTGTAAAATGTTCTTTAGAAAAACTTTAATAGCTTTAACTACTTTTGCCTTTATTTGATTAATTATTGTATATAAAAAGAATAATACTAAACTTACAAAAATTATATAAAATATTTCTTAAAAAATGACATATTAAATTATGACAGGATAAATTAATATAAATAATACACATTAAATGATATAAATAAGATGACAATACAAGAGTAATACCGCTAATAAAATCTTTGTAAGTATAATATTATTCATGTAAAAATGTTTTAGTTACCTAACAAAATTTTCAGTTAAACAAACTTTTAAGTAATTTATAATATACTATATAAAATGAAAAACAATAGTTAACATAATGGGAAATTGTTTGGTTAAAAACCAGAATAGAGAAATTTTTGGTCAATGAAATGAACCTATAAAATAAAACCATGCACCATCATATTCTGCCATGCTACAACCCTCTCCATTAACTATAACAAATGCTTAAAAGATAGTGAAGAACAATAACAGATAAATATTAATGACAAAATAATATTACAAAATTACACAAATCTTGTCCACATCTATATGATATTATTAAGAGTAAACGACATGTTCCCACCCATGGTTTTACGAATCTACAAGTTCTCATCATTGGTTTCATAAATTCCATATTCACACTCTTAAATCAACTTTGTTTGTGAGTTTTGGGGTATGATACAGTATAAAAAGTGCTATTACCAAATTGCTCTTGCCACATAAATTAACAAATTCTTTTTATCCCCCAAATTAGTAGAATCAGAAAATGACAATTTTACTTTCAATTTTATTTCAATAGCATCATCCTCTTTTTCAACCTTCCCTTTTTTTTCTCTCTCTTCTTCAACCTTTCCTCTTCTTTGGCCACCGCATTGCCGGAAATCGCCTCTGACCCAACAATAGACTCACCGACGTCCCCCCACCAAAACCACCAACCTCCCCCACCTCATTAGCTCACTGATTGTCGCCACCAACCCTTTAGGATTTCGTGCGATTGTAGCGCCTCTCTTATCAAATTCCAGTTGATCTCGACATTGGAAATCACCTTTGTCATTGCCAACTGCACCACCGGCACCCCTCCTCCAAAAGCCCCAACACCCTCGACCTCGGTTGCTTATCGTTTGCCATCCACCACTCTTTTAGGGTTTCGCTTGATTGATGAAATTGGGTTTGATTGGAGGTTGATTTGGAGTTGATTTTGACAGGAGATTGGTTTTTTGGAGTGTTTGTTGGTTGTTTGCAAATTTTTTCGACCACTTTCCCTACCGACGGCCACCAAATTCCTTGCCCTCAAATCGCGCCCACCAATTGTCCCAACTAGTAACCAACCAACCCAACACCAACACCTTGCTTTACACCCACCTCCGTCGCACTTCCTTGGTCCTTAGTCAACCCATGATATGTGCGTTCCCGCCTCATCGACAAACTGCCACCCCTCATCGACAACACTAGGTTTGCTTAACCTAGTGTTGTGTTTCGTTTGNGAGATTGGTTTTTTGGAGTGTTTGTTGGTTGTTTGCAAATTTTTTCGACCACTTTCCCTATCGACGGCCACCAAATTCCTTGCCCCCAAATTGCGCCCACCAATTGTCCCAACCAGTAACTAACCAACCCAACACCAACACCTTGCTTTACACCCACCTCTGTCGCACTTCCTTGGTCCCTAGTCAACCCATGATATGTGCGTTCCTGCCTCATCGACGAACTGCCACCCATTAGCGCAGTCGTTTGCTTAACCTAGTGTTGTGTTTCGTTTGTCAGTAGTGTTGTTGTTGGTATTGATGGTGGTGGTGGTAGGGGTGTTCAAAAGAACCGTTTAGAACCAGAACCGTTGGGTACCCGGCGTTTGGTTCTGGTTCCTACCCAGAACCGATCGTCAACGGGTAGATTCCAGTTCCTACAGTCAAGAACCAAAACCGAGAACCAGGACTGAAATAAAATGTTATTAAAGAGTGGGGGGGTTATTGTAATTTACCTGCCACATACAAATACTTCAGATTAGGGCAAAAAAACTCATTTTCTTTCTTCCCTTCTCACGATATTCATCTGCTCTTGCTGCTCTCTGTCCATTCACTTCAGATTAAGGTAAAACTTCACCTTTTTTTTCTTCTATATTTTTGTACGCTACTCATAGTTGTCCTCTGGCATCAAGTATTTATGTATTAAGATGCATTTGGAGTAAGACATGTCACTACTATTAATCCGCAAAACGTCAATTTCGATTCTGAATAAAGCTATTCATTTTAGTTGAGTTGTAATCTTCTACATTTGATAGCTCTTGGTGGACAGTTCTTCTTACCAATGGAGATCGGCATTTTTTCATGAATTTCAAGCAGCAAAGATTTCCATTCAGAAGTTGCACAACCTGCAAAGTCATGTATTGAAGCAGATGGAATCAATTTTATTATCTTATCTATATGTTCTATGTTTACTACTTCAGTTGTTAGTGAATCTGTACAGTCTACCTGACTCATTTAAGGCCGCCGAATCGAAGACTATTGTATGCATATATAGGCCGCCAACAACACAAGATTCATCTGCCTGAAATCGTACTCATCACCCATAGAAGGATCAACTAGCTCTTTAACTTCATTCTTCCTCAACAAAGATATGAATCCTTCACAACCATCATCCAATTTGCTAATAACAAGACAATGCTTTGTTGAGAGTAATCCAGAGCTCGACGTCCGGTGACTAGTTCCAATAGCAATACACCAAAGGCAATCACATCAGTTTTTTCATCTACTATCCCATGCATCAAAAACTCAGGGGCAAGATAGCAATACACCAAAGGCAATCACATTAGTTTTACCAACCCAAATGTGCCTTCAACTTTGGATTCTGTGTAGTGAGTCCATTGCTCTGGTAGCCATTTTGCAAGCCCAAAATCACAAATCTGAATTAAAAGGAACCAATACTTACTTTCTTTTGCTATGCATGCTCTAACTAGTGAAAGTGGGGGGTATTTGTAAGTTTTTAAGAGTTTTTTGTCATTTTAAATACTTTGGGGGGGGGGGGGGGGGAAGGGGATAATGAATTTTACAGGGTACCCAGAACAGGAACCAGAACTGTCGGTTCCGATTCCGGTTCCAAAAGTCAAGGAACCGTCGGTTCCGATTCTGATTCCGGTTCCGATTCCGATTCCTTCCAAAAGTGTAGAATACCCGAAACCGAACACCCCTAGGTGGTGGTGGTGGTGGTGGAGTTGGAGTTGGAGGCAAAGAGGAAGGCTTGGGTTGTGAAAAGATTTAAGATGTGGACGAAATTTTGAAATTTTACTTATTTGGAGGAGTGAAAGAGAATAGGGTTTACTATTTTTTTGGACAAAAAGCAATAAATACTCTTTGACCGTTACATTAACTGATTTTTTGTTAATTTAAGGGGGAAAATCTGGAATTTATGAAACCAAGAGTGGGAACTTGTTGTTTCGCAAAACCTTGGGTGGGAACATGTCATTTACTCTATTATTAATTACATAAAAATAAATAAATAAATAAAAAAGAAATATGCTCTGATGAAAATCTAGAGCTTGCCTTTGCTTCTGGAGGGAGAAGACGTTTGAGTTACAATGTTTTCTATGCCATCCAAGTGAAATCTAGGCCAATAGTTTTTTTCTTTTTCTTTTTTCTTTGGCTCAATGCTAACAAGATTCAGTTTATAATCAGTCGTCTAAAAACAAAACAAATTTCCGAGGAGCAGAAAATTGTTAGACGCATTTCATCACTAACACAATAGATCACTCATCATAATCAATACTAGCATGAACATATTCTGCAACAAGGATAGACGTATCAGTGGAGTTGAAAAATGAATCACTAAATTTGTCGTACATAGAAAAGCCCTCAGATCACATAGCTTAGAACAGATCAGATATGGTTTAATGCTAATGGCATTCATCAACTCCCTTACATACCACCCAATAAGCAGAAACTTGGAAAGCTGAAAGAGCGGCTCAGATAAAAGAAAGAATGAAAGAAAGATGATAAGTGAGTGAGTGAGTGAGTGATTGAGAGAGAGAGAGAGAGTGGTGTCATGTAGTGAAGTGATGAAACCATGCAACCAACTCAATACAATTCAATTGTCCATCATTGGGCAGTAATAAAATCCATCATTCATGCAGATAAACCATAATCCAGTAATCAAATATTGCAACAGGGGATAAAGATCACATTGAATTTTCATGCTCAAACTCATAGGTTTGTACAAATAGTAATGACAATAAAGATTCGCATGAGCATAGGCCTCAGATCTCATAACTCAAAACCATACAATTCATGGTGAAGGTAAAGATTTTCACTGAAAGCCATCCCACATCTTAAATGATGATCAAAAGAACACCACTGCCACCATCGCCACAACAACCATCAACAATGATAACAACAGCAAGAATAATAACATTAATCCCGAGAAGAAGAAGGTGATGATAGTGATGGTGATGAAGAAGAGGAGGAGGAGGAAGAAGAAGAGAAAAAGGAGTAGTTAACACTGATGAATGGTGGTACAGACCAGTAGCAAATGTGGGGGCTAACTATGAAAACTAAAACAAACACTCATGCAATGAGTTTCCATCATTGACCAATGCATACGGTTATACTGCTAAAACTTTTTCAGTATACAAGAATAGGAAAATCTCAGTTTTTACCAACATTAAGTAAAACATACAAAAGAAATAAAATTAATGCAAAATTTTTAAAACTCCAGCACACCTTGTAATGATTGGAGAAGTTAACAACTGATGATGGAGGCCATAACTAAAATCAAAGCATCCATCTTAATTCATGAGTTCCCATCATTGGGCATATGTAGAAGATTTTAAAGAACTTCACCATGTAAAAGCAAGAACAATCCCCGAAATGCAGGCTCTACAGTCAAAACTCANATGAACACATCGTTTCCGATGGTCTTCACTTTAACCCTCCACAACCCACCAGAGACAACTCTCAAAGTTGCTGTATCAGATAACTCCTTTGATATATGCTTCAAAAATTGCCGTGGAAACTTCTTCTGTTAATGAACAAAAGAAAACAAAGATGTTAGCCATGGATTTAGCTCAAATAAGTAGACAAAAAGGACAAAATTAATCACCATTGGTTCTGGTTCATCGTCACAAATGAGCTTGTAGAAACATGGCCTTTGGTCTGTCACAGTGCCAATGCTTTCTTCCTTCGAGCTTTTCTTGAGAAAGGAGGGGCTTCCTTGAATTTCCTGGCGTCCTCTTGAGGGAGGGCTTGAATTGAGCTTGAATTCAGGGGGCATGGTGAAGGACAAACTCAACAAAAGTCTGAGAGAACAAAGTGTTTAAAACTCAACAAGAAGGCAGTTGAAACTATTTTGAAGTGTTGTTCGTACAAACTATTGGAAGATACATATATTTAGAGGTAAAAGCCTAAATGCACGCACAGACTCCTGAGAACTCATTTCCACACACAAAGAGGATGAAGGAAAGAGAGCAGAAACTGTGCATACCATGGAAGCGTAAGTTTTCTTTGCAGGCTCGCCAACATATTCTGAAACTGCAGAATGCTTTTTTTTTTTACTTTAGACTGGAAATATTCCTGCAGGTACTAGCTTGGAAAGTTTCTATCTCCCCCCTAAGGTTTTCTCTCAAAATGGAAACCCGTATGTTGTTTGAGAGTTATCGCTCATCTCCCCTGGTAAATATCATCGACTTCTTTTAAGATTCTGCTTAATCATAATAGACCTCTCTTCCACAGAGAAGTTTAGCGAAACTATAAGGGAGATTGGTGATAATCCTCGAATCATAAGGAGTGTTGGGAATTTACACTGGAAGTGAGGGGAACATAAGCAGTTAATGAAGATTTGCATAATCTTTTACCGAAGACTTTTCTACAACCTTGTACTAAAATAGAAACTCATTCTTTTAAGATATAGTGTTAAATGAGGAAGCGATCGTCATCACTTTATGGAATTGATTCCCGTTTCATACCATTCTTTTAGTTATTATTACATATATACCCTTCTGTAATCTATTGGTTTGAAACACACCTAATCCTTTGAGCTAGTTTTTGGGACTCACTCCTCTTTTGAGTTAGTTTTTGAGAGTGAATGGGGATGGTGAATATATGTTTGGACTTATAGTTTTGGGGGGTGAGTGGGGGTGGGTGATAGTGTATATAGGTTTGAACTATTATGATGTGGTTGTGTGATGGTGTATATACATGGGAGTGAGTGAAAGCAGATGATGGTGTATATATGTTTGGACTGTTATGATGTGGTTGCGTGATGGTGTGTATATGTGGGGTGGGATATATAGGGACGGGCGAAGGTGCATATATGTTTGGACTATTATGATGTGGTTATGCGATGGTATATATACATGGGTTGGGATATGTAGGGGCGGACGATGGTGTATATATGTTTAGACTGTTATGANGTTAATGAAGATTTGCATAATCTTTTACCGAAGACTTTTCTACAACCTTGTACTAAAATAGAAACTCATTCTTTTAAGATATAGTGTTAAATGAGGAAGCGATCGTCATCACTTTATGGAATTGATTCCCGTTTCATACCATTCTTTTAGTTATTATTACATATATACCCTTCTGTAATCTATTGGTTTGAAACACACCTAATCCTTTGAGCTAGTTTTTGGGACTCACTCCTCTTTTGAGTTAGTTTTTGAGAGTGAATGGGGATGGTGAATATATGTTTGGACTTATAGTTTTGGGGGGTGAGTGGGGGTGGGTGATAGTGTATATAGGTTTGAACTATTATGATGTGGTTGTGTGATGGTGTATATACATGGGAGTGAGTGAAAGCAGATGATGGTGTATATATGTTTGGACTGTTATGATGTGGTTGCGTGATGGTGTGTATATGTGGGGTGGGATATATAGGGACGGGCGAAGGTGCATATATGTTTGGACTATTATGATGTGGTTATGCGATGGTATATATACATGGGTTGGGATATGTAGGGGCGGACGATGGTGTATATATGTTTAGACTGTTATGATGTGGTTGTGCGATCGTATATATATATATGAAATCATTATGATGAGTTGCAAAACTGTACAAGTAATCTCATGCAGTTGATTATGAATAATATTGAATATTATGATGAGTTTTAAGTTATATTTAATTAAATTACTTTAAACTAATGGGTTTAATCCAAACTAATTAATTAGATTATTATGAATATTGTTATTATTGTATTTAATTATAAATATTTGTTCCAACGAAGAAGCATCATAGTGAGAAGTGGCATAGGCTCAAAATAAGATCATTAATTTTTATTCCTTCATTATGGTTCATTTATGTACATGATTTCATTTTTTTTACTTTAAAAACTTTTCTATCTATGTACGCAATAGCAGAAGACAGGTGGAGACTTGAAAAACCTCATCTATATATTTGTACGCTACTCGTAGTTGTCCTCTGGCATCAAGTATTAATGTATTAAGATATCACTACTATTGATCCGCAAAACTTCAATTTCGATTCTGAAGAAAGCTATTCATTTTGGTTGAGTTGTAATCTTCTGCATTTGATATCTCTTGGCGGAGAGTTTTTCTTACCAATGGAGATCGACATTTTTTCATGAATTTCAAGCAGCTAAGATTTCCATTCAGAAGTTGCACGACCTGCAAAGTCATGTATTGAAGCAGATGGAATCAGTTTTATCTTTAACAGATTATCTTAAAATCCCACTGTTATGATCATCTACTTGAGTTGTTACTGAATCTGTATAGTCTACCTGACTCATTTGAGGCCGCCGAATTGAAGACTGTTGTATGCATATATAAGCCGCCAACAACACAAGATTCATCTGCCTGAAATCGTACTCATCACCCATAGAAGGATCAACTAGCTCTTTAACTTCATTCTTCCTAAGCAAAGGTTTTGCCTAAAAAAAAAAAAAAAAAGTATGAATCCTTCACAACCATCATCCAGTTTGCCAATATGTGCTAAATAAACGGAAAAACATACCCACAAGACAACGCTTTGTTGAGAGTAATCCAGAGCTCGGCGTCCAGTGACTAGTTCCAATAGCAATACCCCAAAGGCAAACACATCAGTTTTTTCATCTACTATCCCATGCATCAAAAACTCAGGGGCAAGATAGCTGCAATAATTATCGGAAACAAATGAGTGCGTTTATGAAGTAAGATCGCTGCTGGATAAGTGCAGTTGTAAATGTTAGTTTTACCAACCCAAATGTGCCTTCAACTTTGGATACTGTGTGGTGAGTCCACTGCTCTGGTAGCCATTTCGCAAGCCCAAAATCACAAATCTGAATTAAAAGGAACCGATACTTTCTTTAGCTTTGCATGCTCTAATTAGTGAGAAAACGCATTAAAGCTTCATTAATTTTAATATTAATTAAACGAAATTTTGGCGGGGGGGCGGAGGGAATTAATGGTAAATCAGAGAGCTCAAAGCAGATATATCATGTACCTGAGGTATAAAATCTTCAGTCAGCAAAATATTGGCAGCCTTGATATCTCTGTGAATGATTCTCCTCTGACAACCCTCATGAAGATATAGTAAACCCTCGGCTATCCCTAAAGCAATCTTATACCTAATACTCCATTTCAGTTTCTCCTTCGCACCTGTAATAGTCTAGGATTAATTTTCTTAACATGGTACATAATTTACAGGAAATCATCGGCGGCAATGTTTTATAATCAAGCACCAACCATAAAGTAGAGAAGCTAAGCTTCCATTTGGAGACAATTCAAGAACAATGTGCATGCCACCTTCAACTCCGTATCCAATTAACTTAGCAGTATTAGGATGATTGACATGAGCCATAATCCCAAGCTCTGATAGAAAGTCTGCAATCATCTCATCAGCTGTACCTCGTGTTAGCCGTTTGATTGCCACAAATTCTCCATCTCGCAAACGCCCCTTGTAAACTTCGGCATAACCCCCTTTTCCAATCAGATTTTCTACACAAAACCAAATCAGAAAACTCATATTTTGTTTTAAAATTGAATTCTCTGCTTCTGACTACATTACAAATACGTACCAAAACTGAAATTATTGGTGGCAGCTTGGAGGTCGTACAGAGAGAAAATCTTCTGCGCAGACTTTGAATTGTATGGATCAGTATTTATAAGAAGATTTCGTGACATATCAATACCCTCTTTCATACTACTGCTCTTTCTTATTGAGAGCTTGAGGACACTGAGAGGATACAATGAAGTCATTGGTGTTTTTGATTTACTTCTGAACAACTCAGCAAATCCATGCCAGCGAGAATTGGATTTGGAAGTTGATTTAGAATCGGAGTCTGGGGTGGGTTCTTTTGAAGAACATGATTCCGTGTCTTCACTCCTGAAGTAATCCTCCAGAACTCCAACTGGGGAACTTGTATTCTCCTTCTTCTCCATACCCAAAGATCATAAGGGAAAAGGTTGAAATTTCACCTTCAACAAAAACAGAGCATTCTGTTTCTCCCTATTGAAAATAATTTACTAAACTGTCTCTGCTTTTTCTGCAAATAGGATCCAAAAACATGACGAGGAAACCATATTGTGAGTTAAAAAATAATAATAACATAGAGAGGAAGCTAACGTGAGTGCAAAGATATTGAATTGATGCAAGTTACAGCAAAGAATAAGATTAATTTCAAGCAGAGGAAACAAACAAATTGGAAGCTATTTAAATTAATATACAACTTACGAAAGGAACATTTTAGCAGTAAAAATGGTCAAATTCAGAAGAAAGTGAAAAGAAAAAATTAGTTGTATAAACCAATAGCAGAGAACAAGCAGCGAAGAAGAAAGGAAATCAGAAGAGAGTTGTTGCAATCCCAAAAGACATGGAAAAAGAACCCATAAACTGAGACTGTAAAGGCTGAAACAAATACATAATAAACGAGAAGAAGAATGAGAAAGATTGTTAATGGACAAAACATACCAATCAAAAGTAGAGAGAGAGAGAGAGAGAGGGAAGTGGTGGACACCAATTCCCAGTTACTCAATCTCAACCGCTTCAACGATAACTGGATTCTCAATTTATGCCATGTTATTGCACAGATATTTTATTATTTAAACTATTAAATTAAGTTAAAACACAATTGTGGACGCTGTACACTTTGAGTTGAAGAAGAGCTATCAACTTTCTTATCCATGTTAAGGAGCTTCGATGGTCAGAGACGATTCTTTCTACTTTAAGAGGGTGAGGTAAAGGTTACGTGCAGTATCATTGAACCACGTGTGCCTTCATTTTTTATTTTTGTTTTTTGTTTTTTGTACACTTATTGGATTTACTTTTAATTTCCATACTTTATGATTTTCCATTTTATTCTATAGTTTATTAGCTCCACCCCACATCATCTATTTGGCAAAAATAATTTATTACAATATGATTCGTACATATTTATTTGTGTGTTTGGTCTTTACAAGTTAAATTCTTATATTAAAGAATGAAGATGACAATTTGTATTAATTATTAAAACTTGGATTTATAAATATTATTGTAAAAATTTGACTGGAAATCAATGAAACTTTGATAAAAAGTCTTGTTAAAATGTATGGATGGGTCTGGTCTTCTAATTTTTATGATTGAGAAATTTATTAGGTGCCATTCATCATGGTAACTGATAAACATTGTAGCAGAAGCCGAAGAGCCACTATATATCTTACCATTAAAATGATTAAAGACTTCCTAATCGATTGTGCAGTAATTTCTTGATGCCTTAAGGATGAACCAATCCTTAAAAAAAAAAATAATAATAATAAATAAATAAATAAATACTTGCTTCACAATCATTACAAATAAAAATAAAATCCTCCCACGCAAGGAATCAAAGATTGCAGAAATGATATGATTTTGAGCAGCCTTCACCCGCAAATCAAGAGATTTCTAGTATCATTTCATACCCAATCATAACATTTTGGTCTTTGGAAAATCTTTTATATTTTGTCGCTTCTTTTTTAAGATTTAACGTTACAGACAAGACTATCTGTCAGACTGAGACAGTTTTGATGTAAAAATTGATTCAAGAATAAGCACACTCCACAATTATTTGTTTCTCGTCAACTGGTTGGTGACACATCCGTTAAGCATTCCCTGTAATCTCAAACAAAGTTTCTGTTTATAATGTTTTTGAAAATTATTCTCAAATTTTCTTAGTCTTTCTCTTTTCAACTTTATAACAACTCCAGAGGATAACGTTGACCATATTCAGAAATCAATCAAATTCCAACTCAATGCATTCAAAGTCCTTAAATTTCAAACAAAAATTGACAAATAGATTTAAAATAAAAAGTTTCAAAAATGGTGGCCATCGTTGTTCATGCTAAAATTAATTGATGTCATATCATATGATTATGAACTAACATTATAAAATGAAGCCCTTATCGTAAAGATATTTTGGTTATGGATGCAAGTTGATATTATTTTATGCTTAAAATTCGTTATCAATCGGTCAGAAATGGGGTTTGCAGCTTAGTATAAGTAAAAGTATTTAAAACGTGAAAATTAAAAAATTGTTCGTTGGTAAAGTGAAACTTTCTGATATGTTTTATTAATTGGGTGGACTTGTCGGAAGTGATTTGATAAGCAAAGTGTGAGTCAGGCCTATGGTCAATTTAATCTAATCACCATTAAAATTCAGTGGTAGCACTAACATACACGAAAATAAAGATAACGATGCATTGCCAAATATTTAATTAACAAGGAACTCTTACTAATTGTACGTCCACCTTGGATTTGTATTGCCGATAAAATTGATTTTAGTTAGAGCTTCAATTTCAGCGTTAAAACTTAGTTCTTACTTTACCATTGCCCAACCAATGGTTTAAGATTAATTATATTTTATTACTAATATAATAAGTTTTAATCTTCAATATATATAGTAGAATCTCTCTATAGTCATGACGTTAGAACCAACTAAATTTATTATTATTAAGAAGCTATAACTTAATAAAGATGTAGTTACAAGAATTATTATATTGATTTTTTATTTTGTAATTTATGTTTACAAATGAATTGAGTGAACATATTCGACAATTTCACTACACTAATTAAATGGATATTGATTTTTTCCTCAACCATCCAAATAAGTAACAAGTCTTGAATGTTTTAACTGAAGAATAAATCATTATTGGAATTAGACAATAAGAGGAAGGAGATAATCTTAAGAATGATAGTACGAAAATATCAAAAGTTTCATGTCAAGAAACTATAAACATACTTGAGAAGCTAAAATTATTTTGGCTTCAATAAGAAGATGTTCATGCTGACGACTTATTATGGACTCGCAAGATAAAAGATGTGGAAATAACTCTAAAGTATAAACTATCCCAAATAACTTTAGATAAATATTTTATTTCATCTTAAGCTTTTAATGTAACATAGCTTATGTTTTTTTGCAATATACATATAATTATTACTATGTAGAATAAGTTTCTTAAGCCGAGAGCCAGAAAAATTATAACTTATTACAATATGAAATTGATTCTTATTTATAACTGGCCCAAGTTGGGACCAGAATTTTTTATGATTATATGGAAATTATTTCAATATAGAATATTACTATAGAGATGCTCTACTATATGTGTGTGTGTGTGTGAGAGATTTTGCCAGAAAACTAACAGATCTCAGAAGCTCACAGAGTTATAGTCCGACTTAGAATCAGCGTAACCCAGAACAAGCTTGACCCAGATTCAGTACGATCCAAAGTAAGCTTAACCCAACTAAAGCTCATCACAACAACCAATCTTAACAGCTACTCCCTTCGTTTCAATAAAATTGTTGTTTTAAGTTTTTACACAATTTTTAATAAATCAAAATCTGTGCAAAGAATTGACTTTTTCCTCATATTGTAGGTGGAAAAATTTTGTTTTCCCCGCTGCAACAGATGTGTGAAATATTAAAATAAAGAAAGAGAAATTGTGAAAGAGAGGAGATGAAGGGAAGAGATAGATAAAGAGAGAGAGAGAGGAGTGTGGGGTAGGGTAGAGAAAAAGGTATAGAGAGGAGATGAGGGGCACGGTGGAGAATGAAGACGTGGGTCAGAAAACATTGAAAGAAGAGAACGTCATTTATTTTGAAAAAAATTAATACCCTCAAAATGATTTTTATAAAGAAACAGAGGGAGTATTTGACAGATCAATGATAAGTTTCAATCTCTGATGATACTTTGAAAGGAATAAGATTGACATCGCTAGCAACGCGGTTTTAGTGCTCAATCACTGAAATCACAGGATTGCGTACCAAATCTGATCACAATCCCGGGATTTATCTCTCTTTCCTTTATAAAAAAACTTGTATAAATACCCCTTCAAACTATGAGAAATGGGTTAGCAAATTAGTATAGACACAATATATTATTTTGTAAGCTCTTTAAAGCAATAAGAGAACAATGAACATAGGCTTGAGTTCTAAATTGTCGAACCACAAAAAAATCTTGCGTGTGTTCATTATTTTCTTGCATTTATGCATTGCATTGAAGACTTTCATGTAGTCACGGATACATCGGTTCTGATTCTGTTAAGGTTTATCGGATCTTTCTGGTTGGTACGAGTTTTCGTGTCAAGTAAAATAATCAAATCAGTTCAATAAAGAAAAAAATGATGGTACCAAATTATATGTGTGTTTGTAAATAGAATGTCCGTGGGCAATTAGCCCAATACTGTTACTTGACTGATATGCCCAATCTAACTGATACCTCTTTCCATGCCCCATACAATACTTCACCACTCCAACGCCTAACCCACTATTATAATATTGCTGTTGCTTTCGCTTTTCGTCGATTTCTCTCCCGTTGTCGTTCTATTTCTATAGGTCTTCAGAAAATGTTATTAAATAATCTAAACTTCTTTTTCACCTTCATTCTAAAATATTTATACTATATAGTACATCGTAAAGATGAGAAATTTATTAGGTGCCATTCATCATGGTAACTGATAAACATTGTAGCAGAAGCCGAAGAGCCACTATATATCTTACCATTAAAATGATTAAAGACTTCCTAATCGATTGTGCAGTAATTTCTTGATGCCTTAAGGATGAACCAATCCTTAAAAAAAAAAATAATAATAATAAATAAATAAATAAATACTTGCTTCACAATCATTACAAATAAAAATAAAATCCTCCCACGCAAGGAATCAAAGATTGCAGAAATGATATGATTTTGAGCAGCCTTCACCCGCAAATCAAGAGATTTCTAGTATCATTTCATACCCAATCATAACATTTTGGTCTTTGGAAAATCTTTTATATTTTGTCGCTTCTTTTTTAAGATTTAACGTTACAGACAAGACTATCTGTCAGACTGAGACAGTTTTGATGTAAAAATTGATTCAAGAATAAGCACACTCCACAATTATTTGTTTCTCGTCAACTGGTTGGTGACACATCCGTTAAGCATTCCCTGTAATCTCAAACAAAGTTTCTGTTTATAATGTTTTTGAAAATTATTCTCAAATTTTCTTAGTCTTTCTCTTTTCAACTTTATAACAACTCCAGAGGATAACGTTGACCATATTCAGAAATCAATCAAATTCCAACTCAATGCATTCAAAGTCCTTAAATTTCAAACAAAAATTGACAAATAGATTTAAAATAAAAAGTTTCAAAAATGGTGGCCATCGTTGTTCATGCTAAAATTAATTGATGTCATATCATATGATTATGAACTAACATTATAAAATGAAGCCCTTATCGTAGAGACATTTTGGTTATGGATGCAAGTTGATATTATTTTATGCTTAAAATTCGTTATCAATCGGTCAGAAATGGGGTTTGCAGCTTAGTATAAGTAAAAGTATTTAAAACGTGAAAATTAAAAAATTGTTCGTTGGTAAAGTGAAACTTTCTGATATGTTTTATTAATTGGGTGGACTTGTCGGAAGTGATTTGATAAGCAAAGTGGGAGTCAGGCCTATGGTCAATTTAATCTAATCACCATTAAAATTCAGTGGTAGCACTAACATA